ACTTCTTCTCCTTCGTCGTCATCTAATACTTACATTACAACATCAATATTTAGAAATGGAAGATCCTACAGAACTTAAGAAGAATCTTAAATCTAAGTTTGATCATTAAAAGACCATTTTTCTTCCTTGTGCATGTCATAATTGGATATATTTATGTGTCTTGGATTTTCCAAATTTAAATTCTTTCAATAGTAAAATGTATAGTATTGTCTCACAATTACGATTATGTGGATAAAGCATTTTTCAAGAAGAAATGATTCAAAAAACTCTCTCTATATTTCCTCTTGTATCTGTTGTGCTTGCACAACAATATAGGAACATGAAATTTTAGAGTCATTCTGATTTCATGTCCTATCTACTTCTTGCGAAGAAGTAAAATGAACTACTCTTGTGTAATGTGGAAGCTCGTCTTATTGGAACTACAATTCCAAAATCTCATGCACTTAATATTTCAAAGTCTAAGAAGGAATTATATAAACATGGGAAACGTGCTCATAAGTATCAAGATAATCATAGTCATGACCATTTCTACCCATATGAAAAGAATAAATATTCTACTATTAATTATAGTAGAAAAAAAAATCAGAGATGTGTTCTTGTCATAAGTGTGGAATGATTGGACATTTAGTACATGCATGCTGTACTTCAAAATATTTTATTAAAATATTATAAGAAAATAAGAAATTACGAGTTGAGGCTCGTGAAGTTCATACCATGGAGCATCCATGGATTCAATTGGTGTTGATGACTTAGAGGCTTATATGAATGATAGAACCTCTAAAAATGAATCAAATGATGCGTTCATTGATTCTGCAATAATGCATACTACCTTATAAGATAGATAATTTTTTATTGAAAAATCTTTAACTTGGAAAACTAAAAATATGATGAGGATGGCTGGAGCAAATGCGTTTTGTTTCCAAAAGGGCACAGTGATGATAAAATTACCTGTGGGTTCCATCATAAAATGTAAACATATGATGTTTGCACCCTCAACACCTCAAAGTCTGATCAGCTACTGAGATGTGCATATTAATGTTTATCACCTCTCGACCGCCACTTTAAATAGAAAAGAGGTTTTGGTTCTTGTGAAGAATCATAAAATTGTTGAAAAAGCTTTTGCTACAGAAAATGGTTTATACCGAATTGTGATTCGGCCTTCCATTATATTTAATTTTGCATCATCTATCACAGAGAGTTGTGATTCTCTTTGGCATGGACGATTGGGACATCCAAAATCCACATTATTTAGAAAGATCATTCCATGTATAACTGGGCACAATTTAAAGCCTGCAGATGTAGACTCTATGGAATTATGTCGTGCATGCGTGCAAGGTAAAATCATTATTTGGCCTTCAATTTGGAAACTTACACAAGAATTATCACTAATGCTTGAAAGATTGCATGGTGATATTTGTGGTCCTATTAATCCAATATCACGACTATTTCATTATTTTTTGGTCTTTCTTGATGCATCAAGTAAACAATCCCATATTTCATTATTATCAACTTAAAACATGGTGTTTGCCAATCTTATATTTATGCTTATTTGTTTTCAGGCATATTTTCTTGATTATCCTACAAAAATATTACATATGGATAATGCAAAAGAATTCACATCAAAGTCTTTTGAAGACTATTGTACTACAACAGGAATCGAGTTGACATATTGTATTCCATATGAACATGCTCAAAATGGACTTGTAGAGTCATTTATAAAGCATATACAACTCATTATCCGGACACTCCTCCTTCACACAAATTTACGTGCATGTATGTAGGATCATACAGTTTTACATGCTGGAGCATTAATACGTCTCCGCTCTTCTTCTCTTGAAATTATTTCACCACATGAGCTCATTTCGGGTCGTCTTCCAAATGTATTTCACTTACAAATATTTGGTTGCCGTGCTTGGATTCCAGTACCAGAACCTCAACGACATACTATTGGAGCTCATCAACAAGAAGACATATATGTTGGTTTTGATTCACCAAGTATTATTCGTATTGTTGATCTATCAATTGGCACATTATTATGTGCATGTTTGCAAAATTACCGTTTTGAAGAAAATATATTCCTATCTCTTCAAGGAAGAGAATCCAATCAACAAAGAAATAAAGTACTCATATTTGAAGTACCAAAAATATTTACAATGAATCTCGATCCTAGGACACCTTTGGCAGAAACTAAAGTTGCGAAGATTTTGCATCTAAAACGGATCATGGATGAAACACCTGATGGCTTCAATGATATACCTAGAATTACAAGAATTTCTATTAATGAGGCTCAGAATGCACCTGCTCAGATTGCAGTGCCATTGATTACAATACCTCAAGTTATAATAACAATAACTAAAAGAACTCGTGGACCAGATAAGCAACCACGTAAGAAGAAAGCTATAAAATTGATTAATCTTGATATTATTTCTCAAGAAATTGCCACTCATCTTGCAGGACTACCAATTCATGATGATATATCCGTGCATAATGTACTTTCAATTCCTATGAAAAGCAATCTTGGAATTGGAAGGAATAAGAACAAGTTGAGTAAAGAATTATCTATTGTGTATTGTGCTACAGATGATATTTGGGACAGACCATCTATTACGGTAGATGAAACATTTGCATATATGATTATAGAAGTCCTTTCTTGTGAGGAAGATGATCTTGAATCTCAAACCATTGAGGAGGCGATGTGTCGCTCAGATTTGTCAAAATGGAAAATTGTTATTGAGGAGGAATATGCATCTTTGCATAAGAGGAAAGTCTTTGGTCCAATTGTAGACACTCTTACATCTTGCCCTGTCAAATATAAAATGGTATTAATATGCAAGCGAGATGCTCAAGGCCAAATAACCCGCTATAAAGCTCGTCTTATTGCTCAAGGATTTAATCAACAATTTGGCATTAATTATAAATCCACATATTCTCCAGTCATGGATTCAATTATATTTCCATATATTATTGGAATGATAGTTCATGCCATCCTTGAGATGTATTTGATGGATGTAGTAACTACATATCTATATGGTTCTCTTGATGCAAATATTTATATGAAAGTTCCACTTGGCTTAAAAACATGAACTCCAAATCGACCCGCTCCAAGATAATATCGTGGTATTAAATTATGTAAGGCCTTATATGGTTTAAAACAATCCAGATGCATGAGGTATTAACATCTTTGAGATTATTTAATTACAAATAATTTTATAAGTAATATACTAATCCCTTGTTTATTTATCAAACGAGATAAAACTGGTTTTGTGATCATCATTGTATATGTTGATGATCTTAACCTAGTAGGCACTACATCTGCATGTGTTATAGCTACTAACCTACTTATACATGAATTTGAGATAAAAATACTAGAAAAAATAACTTTCTGCATTGGTCTTCAAATTCTGCATCTGACAAATGGTAGCATTTTTTTCTACCAACTAACGTATATTAGACAAATCTTGCAAAGATTTAATATGATTGATGTTTATCCATTGTCCACACCAATGGTTGGACGTGGTCGTGATGGTCATGATCCATATCGTCTATGTGAGGAAGAGGAGGAAATATTCGAAGATCAATATCCATACCTCACAATAGTTGGAGCACTTTTGTATTTAGCTACAGCTACAAGATCAGATATTGCATTTGCAGTTAGTATTCTTGCAAGACATAGTATATGTCCAACACTACAACATTACAATGGCATCAAACATTTATTACGTTATTTAAAAAATACTAAAGACTTGGGATTATACTACACACAATCTGCACATCCAAAATTAGTTGGATATTGTGATGCACGATATAAATTTGATACTACAACAGCTAAATCTCAAATAGGATATGTATTCTTAAGACATAGAACTACAATATGATGGAAATCAGTGAAACAAACAATAACTGCAACTTCAACCAACCATGCAAAAATTATTGCCTTACATGAAGCATTTCGAGAATATATTTGGTTGCGATCAATTGATAAATTCATTCAAACAACCTGTGGATTTTCATATGATGATTCTCCAACTATCTTGCATGAAGATAATAGTGCTTGTGTTGCACAGATGTAAGTTGGTTTCATTAAAGGCAACAAGACAAAGTATATTGATCCAAAGTATTTTAATTATACCCATGACTTGATTACTGATCAAGTACTTATAATTAAGAAAATTGAATCTACAAATAACCTTGGTGATCTCTTCACCAAAGCTCTTCCATTAAGCAACCATCATCAACTTACTTATGGCATTGATATGCGACGACTTGCTTTTCTTGAATAAGAAAGTTAATGAACTCTTTAAATAATTAAAGAAAATGATGTTTTATTCTTTTTTCTTCATCTATGGTTTTGTCCTTAAATAAAATAAGGTTTTCCTAGATAAAGTTTTAATGAGGCAACAATTGTTGATCTTGCAAGATCACAGAAAAGTATAGATCATAATTCTATACAAATTTTATATTATATAAATATTATGATGAGCGAGGAGGAGTATTGAGATCATTAAATGTAGCCGACGCTCTCCATAATATTTACTATAGACTATAGTAAATACCATAGCTACAGTATTTAGAGTCTAGTGGAGAAGTATTGTTTATCCTCTTCCATTTTCTCTTCTTGTATACGAGACACAACCAGATCAATAGATTTTCATGTGTGAAGCTCTTTCTTTAGAAACCTTCTTGTGTGTATGACTTACTACTAGTGTGTGTGTGTGTATGAGTTACTATTACTCTTGTGTCTTTCTGAACATTCTCAACAGATTTGAAGTGTTACCTTTTAACGGAGAGAGGAGCACGTAGTAGTAATAACCGAGACTGATAATGGCCAGGGACGTGCCAAGTCACCAGTCGAGATCCACATCAGCGGCGCAGGTGGCGGGTGGAGGGCACCCGCCTGGTCTCACGCCGGCGCGAGCTCCCAAGAAAGGCGTCAATCGCAACGCAGGGCGGAATCCAGGGAGCTATCAACCGGTCACTGCACCCTGGGAATCTATCCGCTTTCCCTCGTTCTCGCCACCTAATTCTCCCACACCCGAGCTGCCTTCCTTTTTTCGCTACGCCACACTCCTGCTCAAACTGAGTTGCGCACAGCTCGTAGGCTTACAGGCTCAATTTCTGTCCATATTGCGCCCTATGCGTCGATTCGGTGGCGGAGGGTTTAAGTTTCGTGGCGTCGAGGGTGGTCGATTTCGCTTGTTGGGCTGGTGGGTTTGAGGTTTTGGGTTGAGGTTTTTGACATTAGTCTTTGTGAGTATTGCAAATCTGGAGGGAGTTGGTTGGGTGCGGGTTTTGATGAGACGCGTAGTGGTTAGGATAATGTGTCGCGGCTGGCACTAGCGCTGAGATCTGTGTCTTTGCGCTTAGTGATTTTGCTTCATGCGTAGCGACACGGCGAGATAGTGGTAATTTTTGGGTTTTGTCTTCTCTTTTTGTTTTGATTGTTGGGGGGTTTGGATAAGAGTGGGTGGTGGTACTCATTAGTTTGGTCTCTTGGTTGCCTGCAAACTCTGCGACCATGACCACTTGTGTAAGCAACATGGTATCTCTGCCCTCCACAAACCGCCCGGTTCTCAGGGCGAGAGCGGAGGTTGAGGAGAGGAGTTTGATGTGTGCGAGTGCAAGTAGCGTTCGCTTCGTTGGGTCTTTGAAGGTTAGGCTAAGTCTTCGACCGAGTTTTTCCGGAGGAGCTGATTTGAGGGGCGCTGCAGTGCTGAGACTTGTATCTAAAGGGAAGATCATGAGCTCGAATGCGCGGAGAGATTGTGTATGCAGTACCGCTGAGAGTGGTGGGCATTTGGAGCCACAATCTTGCAAGGATGTGTCGAAGTCCAAGCAGGGTCTCGATTTCTTGCTCAAGCTGGTAATATTCTGCTACTTCTGTGATCGCAGTAGAGATTTTCAAGAGATTTTGACGTGTGCAATATGAAAACTTTCACCTATCATCAAATGGATCCATGTGATAATTGTTGACTTGTGTGTCCTAAAGCATTCCATAGCCATAAGTAGAAAGGTTTTTACTCTTGTCAGTTAGGGCCCACTGATTATAAGGTAAAGCGTGGTTGACAATGTCGGTGTGGGAATGCCAAATTTAAGAAGGGCATTGAATGGATATATTGTTGGGTATTCTTATCTTGGAATAGCTCGCCATGGACATTGAGTTTTCGTTTTTCGCAGTGCACTTTAAACAGTTACGGTTGTGTGCTCCGAATACTATTTATGACACACTTTCTGTCCATTAACCCTGTGTGCAAGAATGTGTCTTTGAAGTTTGGGTCCCTTTCACAAAAACTTGTTCGGCTGGAAGAGCACAATCCGCACGAATGTTTATTTCTTCATCCTTTGTCTTTCTACTTTTCATGTTCCAGTTCCTGTGTTGACCGCCTGGTACATTGTTTAGTAGATGCTGATTTAAGATCTCTCTCTCTTTCTCTCTCTCTCTCTCCTTTTCTTTGTTTGTTGTTTGCGATGCATCAGTCTTTGAATTGGAATTTTCTGCAAACATTCTCTTTTCTCCAACACACGTGTGAAGCTGAGCTTGAAGTTTATGTAATCACCATGACTAAAAGACAGTGAGTTTCCTGATTTTAAAAGAAAAATCTAGCTGGGCTTCTGTTGTGCTGAATTATGCGCCATTAGTAGGCAATCCTGAACACTTAAATTTTCATCGTCTAGAGAAGGATAGGGGACACTCAATGGCAAAGTCATTCTAAGAAGTCAGTTGCCTGCCGAACATATGAAACGACGATACAGATGTGATTAAAGCGGAATCAGTGATGGTCTCCTGTGTTGTATCACAGCTTCCCAGAATTCTACCAGCTGTAGTGATCGGTGTTGCATCTTGGTTATTAAGGCGTCCAGGCATGGCGCTTGCGGGTGGCGAGGCACCAACCTTCGCGGTTGGAGGGGAGGCTGAGCAAGGAGGGGCTTTATCCAGGGAAATCGCTAAAGCAGGAGGAGGTCTAATGGCAAGTGCCTGGACTGGACTGGTGGCAGGTGGTTTGCACACATTAACAGGGCCTGATCATTTAGCCGCTCTTGCACCCCTTTGCATTGGTCGATCAAGACTTCAGAGTTTTTCTGTGGGTGCACTATGGGGCTGTGGTCACGATGCAGGTCAAGTCATATTCGGCATCATCTTCCTTTTGCTGAAAGACAGGTATGTCTGTTTCAGGTTGACTTTGGCTGATAGTGGAGTTGATGATGTAGTACACTCAGTGCTTATACATATAGCTGGGAACAGATGCTGTTTTATGTAGTAGTGACATTCTCTTGGTCTCCTTTCTTACTCTCACCTTGTCGCATCTGTGCTTGTATTGCAGGTTGCACCTTGATATTATTCAAACATGGGCAGCCCGCGTAGTGGGTCTTACGCTGATTACCATAGGAGGAATGGGAATTAAAGAGGCACAGGAAATCGATGCAGCTACGCCGGTCTTAGTTGAAGGAGAAATGCCAGCTGAACCAGAGAAGAAGTCTGTTGGTCCAGCAACTTTCATCACCGGCATCGTGTATGGGTTACAACCTGATGCGCTCTTGATGATTTTGCCGGCTCTATCCCTTCCATCAAGAGCAGCAGGAGCAGCATTTTTAGGCATGTTCTTGCTGGGCACAGTTTTGGCCATGGGCAGTTATACCGCCTTTGTGAGCTCCTTAAACAAGGCTCTGCAAAAGCGTGTACCCAAGATCACTTATCGGCTCACTATAGGCTCTTCCCTGATTGCCATAGGACTTGGTATCACGATCTTACTCGGAGAGGTATTTGGTTTCAATTTGTTTTAGTTCGGTTACGTCTATCGAAATGTAGAGATCTGTGCCAGGTCAGTTTGTTTGTGAGACAATCTTGCACCTAGCCTGACTACTGGTATACCCCCAACTGCGGATGTAAAAGGTCCTAGCCGCTGTTTTCCCCTTTCTAGATTGCTCATCAGACGTCAGGCTAACGACATTATTTCATCTTGTACAACGTAGCACATCCAAATCATCGGTCAAAGACAGCTGGAGTTTTTCTTTTTGTTTACGGCCGTGCAACACAGTTTCCAGAGATCATAATTTTGCAGAACTCCCCATTTTGCATTTGTTCTACTTCAGAATGCTGGTTAGCCCTGTTGTTTTCTGGCAGCTCTGTATGTTGGATTGTTGAAATTAATTAACGTCTCCCAGTCATCTCAATTTACGATGACATGAAAATGAAAGGCAAGTGAAGCTCTAAACTCATTTTAATGCAAGTATTCATGAAAAATTCAATATTTTTCAATTCTCTTGCATTGGTTAACATTCGTTGACGAAGATTAGCATGTTTTCTTTAACTTTTTTTTCACTTGTTTAGATTAATAGAAGTCTAATAGGACTTAGTACGTCACCTCAATCTTTCTATTTTTCTTCATCAATTTTTGTAATCATCCCAGTAATACTGGCAGCAATTTTTATTCGTGTCATGTAGTTTCATTTCTTTGAGTGTGATATTTAAGGTTTTTGATATTTTGATAAACAAAAGAATAGAATTTAACACCTCTTTAGAAGTCTCTTATGGTCAATATTATTTTTTTTTAATTTTTTTTATTTAGAGGTTTTGGTAAAGAATTATAGATCAACAAAAGAAACAAAAAGTTTTGGTAGTAAATTACTAAGACTTCCAAATATTAATGGTAAGTGATCAAAGGAAAAGTAGAGTAAAAAGCATCCTTCCATGTTAACTTAGAGTTAAGAGAGTTAAACCTGAGATAAGCTAGTTGTAAGCTTTTTGGACTTTGGAAATGTATTGGGAATTTTGTGGAAACATTGGATGAGAGAAAACAAGCAATTTACAATATATTTTCTTATTCAAAATATCAGAGAATTTTTTATTTTTTATTTTTATAGAATCAAACTATATTTATTGCAAGTATTCTTGTTAAGTTAAAAAGAAAAAGAACTCCAAATTAAGCTCTATAGATGAATATTCCTAGCAGATTAATATGTTTAAGACTTAAGTTAAAACAAAGTCTTTTGCCATCCAACCACTACAATTAGAATTAATAAATAGATGTAATAAGATTAACTATTAAGAATTTACTCTTAAGTTGGATATTAGAAAGGATGAAAGTTTGACATTGGTGTACATCCAATTAAAACATACAAGCCATGTAACTTTTAATACATTTTTTCAATTTTAAACATAATTTAAGACAATCAAAAATTATACTTTATCCCAATACAATTGCCCAAAAACAAAGTAGTGAAAGTTGAATCCAAGTCCAAAGAGTGTTTAAATAATAAATTGATAAAATCTATTGGTTGCACAAAGCAAGTTGTAGGCATTGACACCACCCAATTTTGAACATAAGTTTGCCACAAAATAATACACCATCTTTTTTCATCTAAAACATGTTCAATCTATAAAATATTTATTTAGAAAGATACTTATTTCCTTTTTTTTTTACTTCAAGGCAATGGACACATGGACAACAAGGGAAAAAACATCTAACCAAACTTAATCTTATAGATGATAAATAATAGGACAATTTTCATCAATGAATTGAATCTAGGAACTATTTTACAAAACTTTCATTTTTTTTCAAAGATATTTTAAATTTAATGATTTATAATAAAAAGAAAAAAAAACTCTACTACATGATTAAAGTCTCTTTCTATCATTAAAAAATCACATATTCAAATCTAAAGTTCTGCCAATACGTGAAAACTTGTGTGATGCATTGCCAAGGTTTTGTAGATTTTTTTGGAACAATACCTTCTAATATCAATTTTACATACTCATTAATACGTTGAATTGACCTCTTTGTAGGAAGTTTTTACTGTGAGCTGAGGCTATTGATTTATAGGTCTACGATCATAGCTCAGCGAGTATGCTGAAAGTTTTTCGACGTGATCGATTATGGAATAAATTAAGTTGGAATATGTTGTGAATAGAAGAAATCGTTACGTATTTTTCAACTTGGAAGAAATTTTACATCTTGAGTGTGGGATTCATGGGAGGATATCTTTCGCAATTTGTGCGATAGTTTCATGAAATCAAAGTGTGTTCGTTACGACTGTTATATAGCTGTTGTTTGCAGTTGATCCGGGAGAAAATGTCGTTACTGAAGTTGGAACAATTATTGTACTACATTGAACAGCAGTGCACCATTTACATTTCCGGTCAATGAACACTAGCAGCGTTACACAAGAAATCTCTTTTCATCGAAAGGTGTACCGACACATTGGAAACCGATCCAACAGACAACAAATGCTACAAATTGGACATGGATCTACATTACAGCGTTAACTTTAGCATCACATGCAGCATAATACATGGGATTCACTCGTATATCTCATGAGTAACATCCTCGGCGGGGTTACGTGTAACTGTGCGCCATGATGGTAAGAGAAACAACGACGGCGACTGTTTGGTCGAAATCTGTATTTATTAGTCATAGCTGCATAAGCACAAAAATCTAGTTCCCTGGAACGAAGTTGGTGGCGTATGCCCATGCGTTGTTGGCAACTGGGTCGGCCAAGTGGTCGCTCAGGTTCTCCAATGGGCCCTTTCCGGTCACGATCGCCTGGACGAAGAACCCGAACATCGAGAACATGGCCAATCGTCCGTTCTTAATCTCCTTCACCTTCAACTCTGCGAAGGTGTCGGGGTCGTCAGCCAAACCCAAGGGGTCGAATGAGCCTCCGGGGTAGATGGGGTCTGTCACCTCGCCCAGGGGTCCTCCAGCAACACGGTAACCCTCCACAGCTCCCATCAAAATCACCTGGGAAGCCCAGATGGCCAGGATGCTCTGGGCGTGCACTAGGCTGGGGTTGCCCAAGTAATCAAGACCTCCCTCGCTGAAGATCTGGGATCCGGCCTTGAACCACACAGCTTCGCCGAATTTCACACCGTTTTTGGCCAACAGTTCGGGAGTTACGCACCCGAGAGCACCAAGCATAGCCCAGCGAGCGTGGATGACCTCGAGCTCCCTGTTGCGGGCGAAGGTCTCGGGGTCGGAGGAGAGTCCAGCGGTGTCCCAGCCGTAGTCTCCAGCGAATTCACCAGTGAGGTATGATGGGGTCTCACCGGACAAGGGGCCTAAGTACTTCGGTCGGTCGGCGCCATACCTGAAGATCAATACATGGTGATTTTACTTCACAATTTACATTTGTGGTCTATGTTGACAATACCCTCGTATACTGCGGTACTGGCTACGCGGAGTGGCCGGATCTATCACACTGCAGTAAGTAGAATTTTCAATTTGGGCTACCCGACAATTCAACTTCGTTACTGCATACACAATCCATCTTCTGGACACTGGCACTTCGCGAATTGTAACGAAGCATGCTATTGCAGTATCAGAAATGTATACTGATCAGACCCACGGTGGAATATGGACTAGGCATACACAGAGAGATGACACGAATTGAGCATGTGAGTTAGATATGCGATGCAAGGGATGAATCACAATACCATATGCTGTCACTGCTAGACGCCTTGCGCATGGTGACTCGCGCCTGCACGTTGCCCACCTTTCGGGAGAGCTCATTGATAGACTTGAGAGCGGTCTGCCCAGCCAGGGCGGTGGAGTGCGTCGCAGTGCAGGCTGCCATAACTGCAGATTGCTCAAAAACCACGAACACAAGCCTTAACTCAGAGGAATAATACAGACTGTATGCACTTGCTTGGGATCTGTTCAAGGGGGTCTCTTATAGTTAGTTTGGAAATCAGAGAGGATTAAACGCATCGACAGGAAATCTGGAAAAGAGTCAAACGCTCCAGTGAATGCCAAGTGCACCGGAACAGGGGATGGAGTACTCTGCTGATTGGATAAGTGGCATGGGACCCACTTTCTGATTAGAAGATTCGTCACAAGCATTACCAGCAATGGATTTGTTGTTCAGATGCAGGCCTGGTCCACATGTACCCTCAGCCTCAAAACTTCGATGCGCAAAAATCTGCGGGTGTGGGTTTGGCTGTTGAATACTAAGCGACTTCGAGGCTACCCATGTTTTACCAATCACAACAATGATAACTACAGTTGTATATTATAAGCTTGATTCTTTTTTGGAATTCTAAGACTGGTTTCAGTTGGCTTTGCGTTTAGGAGAATCAAGCAAGATGTGGACTAGTTGAAACTCTGACATGTGATATGGGTAGTGATTTTGTGAATAGATTTTAGGCATCGATAATAATCTGTATCACGTCTTCACAACGTCAAGCATCATGAATCCTTTCCGGAGGGAGCATGACATGAAACCAAATCACATCTTAAAACCATTCTGTATGTTGCAATCCGTCCAAGGGATAGTCTTGTCTGTGTGAACTTTCCTGTCGGATTGTGTACCTGTTAGATTCTATTCACAACATCGAAAAGAAGGTTGTATTTATCCGCATGTTATACACATATTTGTTGATTTTTTTCTGAAGGTCTTGCTATGCTCGATCTGTGTCTAGACGGTGATTTGAACCTGCAAGCTAAGCTTGACTGTATGTATTGGAAATACTACACTTGGAGAGCTATTCAACACAGAATTGGTATATACTGCAACTCGGGTTCGTGATAGCTTTCCATGCTAAGCAAAAGAGATCTTGTAAGCCAAGAAATTTTGCAGATTTTTCTTGCGAAATAGGGGGTGTTAGAGTAGGAGAATGGATCAGAGAAACATGTAACTAATTCCATAATTAAAATTAGCATATGAGTGAAATAATCAAAGAGTACAAGTACTGTCTTGAGGGGAAGAAGATATTTTTCTACAGGAGTTCTAAAACCTCTTACTAGGAAATGGCCTTATGCTAGAACCACTTTGGGTGCTTTTGGTTAATTGAATTTTGAATACAATTTAAATAAAACAAGTGTCTATGGAGAACCAATCCATTTGAAAGAAGTTGGGTCATATGTGCTTTTTTGGAAAATTATTTTGAGTTATATTTTCCTTTTTGAACCCTTCTGGTTGTCTGAAATGTAAATCGGATTTGTAACTGTAAATAAGAACTTAGGTATTTATTGTTTTGTCAAATATAAAACATGTTGTGTAAATTAAAACACAATGCTAAGGGAATACTTAAAATACATATATCTTGAATGGGTCAATTCTTTTTAAGAAATCAACTGGCTATTATGATCGAAAAAAGGATATATCTTACTTTTTGAGAACCAAGAAAACCGAGTTATAATAGTGAGATAATTTTTAGGTACGTAGGCAATATATTATCATATTTTACTCTCCTTCATTTAAAAGAAATTTAATGCTTAAAATCACATAACATATCAACCGAACCGCTTTATAATAAATTCTTAGTTCTAAGTTTTGTGTGCGGGAATTTGAACGTTTGTGCGAGTAGAGATCCTTGAAATTCGTTCCTCACTCTATTTCAGTGGAGCACAAATTGGCGATGGAATGAGGGAGCGCTGTGCAGATCATGGCAAGAGCACCTCGCTCAACAAGCCAGGGACGTGTGCAAGCGGTATTCCTTCTCATCAATGGTGATTTCGTTCCAAATTTCGCATTCATTTTGTGAAACAAGTGGATCGACAAAATGTGCAAGTTTAGGTCCAAGTGCTATTTAGCTTTATGTTTCTCGCGTTGGTTGCAATTCGGGATCGAGTTCTGAGTAAGCAAGGCATTGCAATGTGTGTCAATGAATTGGGACTGAATAAGTTGATGTGGCCTAGTTTACGATTGTTTAGAATGTGTTTGTGGTTGGTTATGTATTTCGCGGTATTTGTCTGTCTTTTGCGATCACTAAACATGTTTTTGAAAGCACCTTGTTAGGGTTTAAATAAGGTGAAGATGTTTTCTGTCCACATTTTGGTGATATGGCATTCCTTATCACCAAAATGCCCTCAGGAATACAATACATTTTGTTCGAGAAGCCTCATAGAACGAAGCTAAATCATGGGTTGAGGTAAACTTTTGAAGTTCCTCCTTTGAAAGCTCAAGATCCTGAAAGAACGAAAATGAATTCAGAAGCGAAACTGTAGAAGGAGAATTCACACTCATTCGCTACTGTAGAAATGCCTTTGGCATCAAGCTTTGAAAGATTCATTAATCATGAACTGTTAACAATGACCAGCCGCAGCTCCACAGGCAATGGTAAACTAGCTGTTACAAAATCCAAGAGCACTGTAGTTGGACGAGATGGTGACAAGTACCTCCGAACACGCATCGTGGTAAGAAATCAAATACGAATGTATTCTGATTTGACGACTCAATTGTTGAACTCTGCAATCCCTTCACCCGTGATAATATTTTTATCTCCAAATTCCTTCCCGTTGCTCTTACTGGAAATCTGAGCATCTTCGTTTTTGTGCCTCGTTCCGCTTGAACTCACTTCCGGGACCCCTTTCATCACAAGCTCCAGGGGAAATATCAGTTAAATACCTCAACCTTCGCTTGGCATTGATGGACAGGTTGGAGCAGGTAATGGCAAGTCAGCAGTAGGACCAACGACAAGGATTCACACAAAGTGACAACACAAGCTAACATTCTCTCGATTTGCACAGTTAAACTGAAGGATCATCACATCACTGCACAGCAGAGATTCTACTTTTTGACAACTGGACCATTCGATTTGCTGAGTTTGAAACTAAGCAGTGTGAACGACCTTTGTGGGGCGCAAGTAGTGGCATCAGCCCCCAAAGCCTTTTCAATAGACCGGTTAAGAAGCAAAATTGCTGGCAGAAATTAGGGCAGTGGAAGGCCGTTGCAGAAGCTAAAACTAGCAAAGATACACGCCACCCCAGGGGCTCGAACCCTGGACCACAAGGTTAAGAGCCTTGCGCTCTACCAACTGAGCTAGGACGGCTACAGTACACGTTATCGAATTTTTTATAATTTAAATTCCTACTTTCTGAAATGCCGCCAAAAAAAATGGTTTAGACCAGGACCTTGAGCGAGTTTAAATCTTTCACAATGCAATTCTCTGAGGAAAAAATATGCAGTAAAAAGCATAGAGTAACCTCAGCAAGCAACAATCAGAATAGCCTCAGAATCACTACACAAATTCAGGTGCCGTAACTCTGAAGGAAAGACTGGGATATGCTCCATTAGAGAGTAAGGTGAACAGCTCCATGCTGGTCAGAAAAATCACAAATGTGACTATTTTGACAGATTTCAGTCTTTAAACAAAAGGTTTGTGCACTAATTGGAGTCCAATATGGAATAAAAGGATGTACACTTTGGCAACCACAATTTTTTGTGGTTGCCGATGGGAATCCTTGACAATCCATGGTCTATCACTTCCAACAGTGTCCTCATCAGAGGACGTTAGTATAACCCTAGTGTGGACACACTAACAGGTACTACCGAAGCCTCAAACCTGCTGACAGGATAATGCCTTGATAGCAGAGATCTGAAGAAGGAAAGACTGTACATTTGAGAATTTCGACTGATGTCTGCCAGTAAAGAGCTCAAGGAAACTTCACAATGGACCTGCAACACGAAACAGACAGCAGTAGTAGTTAAGTGCTGAGCTCACAAATACTACATGGTTGGAGAGGAAGCTAAGCCACTATAATCGAGATGCAAATCAGACAACCCACGCAACTTGGCTGGAAAGCCAACATGGGCATGCTACAACGGCATACGTAATAATATAGAAAACCTAAGGTAAAAAATTATTTTATTCGACGAAGGACTTGTCAAAAAGCTGGGTCGTAAAGCAGCAGTTGTTTAACTGAAAAAAGAAAACAAGGCTACAATGAATTATCCTTCGACCTTGACACACACGCACAGCGAGCGAGCGAGCGAGAAAGGGAGAGAGAGAGAGAGAGAGAGAGAGAGAGAGAGAGAACAGATGATTACACAACACCACAGCATAAGAATTTGATGCATGATTTTGTCGGTAGCAATCCAGTGTGTCGTCTAAATGAAAGCACAGTGAAAAATATAACACGCAGATGAAAGACAATACACGCCCGGAAACCTTCTCGCAGTTCACTCACAAGAGTTACTCAGCAATGTAGCAGAGGGTGCCTCACCTCCAATGGGGGCCGGAGCAGGATAACCACTGGGCATGATCATGGAAAACAACTCTCCTTCAGTGGCAGGTTCAATAGCCGCAGCAGCAGGAGGGGCTTCTTCCTCGGGCGCCTCTGGAGGAATCCAAAACGACCTCTCGGACATCAAAGGCAGCCAATCCGGCGTAGCTTTCTGGATTCGAAAATCATGTAAAACCTGCTCTAACCTATTGCCGCTACTGCTCCCAACCTGCTCACTCGCAGTGTCCGCCGAGGAATCAACAACGCTCCCGTCGCACCAAGGCTTCACCGAGTGCGAGCATTTCCTGCTAACACTCAAACTACCCGGCGTTTCCATGCGCAAGTGCGCCACCCAGTACGACGCCAACCCCCTCGCGCTCCCCACCATCTTCATCTATCCCAAGTGGCAGCCCTAACCCCAACCTTCACCTCTACCAGCAATAGACACTCTCACTGCAATGTCTTGTCCTACACAGCAAAACCAACACAAGTACCACACAACTAACGATCTATCACGCGTGACCCAACACCCAGCGACCTCGAATTGCACCAGATCACGCACCGCAGGCAAGATTAAAGCCAAATTAGGAAGCAGGAGGTGATCTGCTTTGGACTGAGTCTCCCGACGAATGCAGTCTGAGTTTGAACTCTGTTCGCCATTGAATGAAGCGCATTATCCATTCAATGGTTTGCCTCTGATGTTTCGCAGCAACTGCAGGTCTGGTGGGTACTTTCGAAAATGCAGAAGGGAAATGCCAACAGGAGGAATGAAAGGAACGCAGCGCAGGAATCCATGGCTTACATGTCGAATGCGTTTCCATTTCGCTCTTCCACTTTAATCTGCCGAAATTTTTGAATCAAAGAAAGGTGGTGTCTGACATGAAACTCGTTCACTCTAGGGTATTCATCCAAGTCTTGTAACACAGAAACGTTTGTCGGAAGCTTAAGCTCGTGGGTACTCTGTGCGCTCCGCATCGAAGGCGCTGCGTTCGTGTCCCGAGTGCGCGATGGATTCTTGTGTTGCATTCCTGTTGTTCCTCATGCTGGCTGGTTCATTGTGCTATTGCAACACAGCGGCGCAGAACGTTCATGAATTTTCCAGCGATTCCGTAGTGGTGGAGCAGGAAGAAGTTTGCGTTGTGGGGTCATCGGAGGTGGAAGCACGCTACTGCACGCGCCTACTGCTCAAGGATATCAGCGACAGGGAGAGCTTTTTGCGCTATGTGAGCTGGCTGCGTATCGAGAACACCAATCTGCTGCTTAAGGTACAAATATCTCCGATCGATCTTGTTTTTGATTAGTTGAATGCACGATGATGGGTTTATGTGCAAACCATCGATAGAATGTCAGAATGTAGGTTTGGAATCTCAAGGCGAAGCTATTAGTGCACCAATGCATGATGAAGGTTAAGTACAGTATTGATTGCATAGAGTCGTAATTTGTGTTATCTAGAGCTTTGTTGTTTGCGAATGTGCAGGGGGATGCTCTTGGGTCCTTGGGCACCCGTATGGTAATAGGTTTCAAGGACCATGGGGGAGACGGCTCCAGTGATCTTTTCAATGAGAAGTCGCATGGACCAAAAATTCGGTCGGATTTCCTAGCAGCGAACTTGGGCAAGATAGAGCAACTCTTGAAAGACATCATCGGTGGTGAGGCTGTAGGCTGGAGTAGTGTCGGATCTCTGGGTTTGAATCGAGACGCCAGAGTGGTGAGTAGAAGAGGGTTTCGCTGTTAATGGTTCTTTCAGGCATTTTTGAATCTGTCACTTGTAGAATGTGATGAGAAGTGTATTAGTTGTGCTGCACTCCACCCCTTGCTCTTCTCGATTCTATCAAGTTTTTTGACATATCTTCAGGTTTGTGTTCTTTTAGGTCAGTGATATGTTTGAGGATTATTACAGTATTGGATCACCCTTTACTTTGATGATTAGATAACCTAGTGGGCTGTCATAATCGTATTTTCTATTTCAACTCCTTTTGTAGATCCAGTCACCGTTTAAAACCATGGTCATTCTTCGAGGAGGAGCCAGCCTTGGAATAGAAATAATGGATTTGGTACCAAAATCCTTCAAGGACTTTGTTCTTAATATTAGTTCAAGGGAAGGAAATTCAGAGATTTCAACGATGGGACTGTGGCATTGGCTTCCTGCCTCATCTTTCAATGGACTCGAGAAGGAAGATACCTGGCCATCGTTTTTCTCCTTCTTAGGAGCCCTTTCGTCCGATCTGAATTTGGAAAAAAAGGGTCCCTTTCTTCCGAATTGGCTGGAAAGTCGCGCATCTCTTTGGGGCAAGGAATTGTCTTCCTCGCAATGGCAGGTAATCCTTCCTTACACCTCTCACTTTCCTTAAATGTGTTTCTTGTTCTGCTGAAACAGAGAGTGTTGCAGATTGACAATCACGAGTTTTTTCATTCTATTTCTTTTACCGAATTAACAATCTTCACATACGTGTTCGAAATTATGTTTTTGTCCAATTTACTTATATGTTTAATTTGAATCATTTCTCTATCATTATTCACGTTGAAGGAATTAACTATCGTTGTGCCTTCTTGTGTTGTACTCGTCTTGGCGCTAGGTTCACCAGCGGAGTTTGACCCTAGTTTCACCACAAGATAAACGTCAAAGTCTCTCACTGACTTACTGTGAATCGGCTCGTTCACCCTCACCTCCGAAGTGCACAATAGCTACACATAAAGCAGATACATCAGTTGTGGACTATGACATTCCGAGTGAATCTCAGATACAAGTGAGACTGCACGCAACAGACCTTTCAAAATGTGGCACCGGTAACGGTGAAAATGCAGGGAACTGGGTTATTCAAGATATTTCGCGGACACTCATTGGTAGAGGTGCTCATCGCATGTTACAATCAACGGTGACTTTGTCAGGGTCTCCTGGTTCCAGCCAGAGACTGCATGACGGTTGCTATTTAAGACTCGTGCAGAGCCTGCCAACTGGAGTTTTTGCGGATCAATTCGAACTTCAAGGCATTCAACGTCGTGGAGGTATGAAACTAGAGTTGCTTCCGGAAATCCTAAAGCTACTGAGTGAACAGATATTTCAATGTCGATCCTTGAGCTGGCATAGCACTTGAAGTCGAACAATTACTCATGGGCGAAGCTTCGGATTATATATTTTTTTATTTCTGAAAACTGCTTTTTTCTTCGTATTCTGAAATTTTCTGATTTAATTTAATTCCAAATGCGTTTCATTAGTAAAAATTGTTCCAGTATCCTAAATTTCAATGCTGTGTTACACTCGTTATTCCTCTACTTCAGTCATGTGAAGTTCATGAGCAACCTGAGGCGCACAACTGATGTATGACTTGGAGAACACTTTGCCGGAGGATTGAAGCTTTTATATTGTTGCAGGAATCAAAGGGGCTTGGATACACGGAGATAAAAACCTTGAACAACCTGCCCTGCTCTCCATACAATCAATTGTGGTTGTGGATGTGATCTTACGAACGGTGAATAGCAGTGATGTTACTGCTCCCGAGCCTCTGCTGCAAGCCGTGGTGGCAATTCCTTTGCATGCTCGCTACCCGGTATGTCATGTATTTCCCAAGTTTTGGTTTGTAGGTGTAGGTCGTTTTTTATGCACCCAGTATTTGAAAGTGGAGCTGTTTTGTAGGCCTTTTGCAACTTTGTGAATTGGTTAGATGAGAGGTTATTAACATCCATTTCAGGACTTCGCCGTTGGGGCAGTTCGCGATGCTCGAGTAAAGCTCCTGGTTGTTGAGTAAAGCAGATACTTCTATGTGCGATATTACATTGCTAGTTACAACATATCAGCTTGAACCTCACTCGCAAATTCTTTCGTTGCATGTGACACAAAATGGCGTGAATGCAGCCTCTTGCTGTGGATAGTCACAGCACGGTACACGTCTCCATGCCCCACGTTTTTATGTCTTGCCAACAAGAGAAAACAAATCTCACCGGCACCAGATGGAACGAGATTGTACCAGGATATTCAATGGGCTTGGAAAGGCCTGGAGGCGTGCTGGATTGGAAGGTCCCTGCTGGGAGTCCTGCAGATTACAGTTTTGTGGCCCGCTTCACGGCGATTTGTGCACTCACTGGTGTCTTGGTCGTGTTAGGGGCGTCTGCATCTGTTCAACGTGGTGCTTAGTTGTGTACAATTCATGTAATGATTTCGTCACTAAAGACAAGTTAGAGCTTTTAAGATTCCTCATCTGGTCGCCATTATCCTGTAGCCAAAATATGCATGTGAAGTAATGGACACGTTCATCTCCTTTCCAAGCCTCTCTTCATTCGATCGAAGTGTAACAGCTGAAACTTGAGCAACAGAGGTGAAAGAGACGTTTTCACATCTCAAAATTATTTCCTATGATGTGATTTAATTTATCCATGATTCACCTGTTCAACTTTTAGTTTGAATTGTATGTTAGGTATAGTTATTGACACTTCATCGTGATGAAATAAGACTTCTAAACGAAGTCTCGCAGACAAACTAAAGAACTATCTGACGTGTATGTCGAAGTCATATACAATATGCTCACAAATCTTGTGCGACTAAATTCGACAATCAAAATGTTCAAGTCCAAGTGTCACACTTAAATTAAGATGTGCGGTCCACACTAGCAGACATACATGAGATGAACTCTACCATAGTACAAAAGTGTGCAGAAACAGGAATATTGTTCAGCCAGAATGGCGATTGCATATGTAATTTTGAAACACAGGCAAAACCCACAACAGCGACTGCGTCGCAATATAAGACTTAACCATTCCTGCTAACTAGCAATCACGATTAACGAAAGTTCTTCCATCCACTTGAATTACCAAAAGAAACTAATCCAGGTGCCCCTACAAGTATGATCAAGTCACGCTAAGATCCTAGTTCTTTGAAATGTTTGCCACCAAGATCAGCATTGCTGATCCTGGCACTTGCCTCCACACCATCTAAGAAAGTCCTCTAAAGCTACAAAGAACATTTCGTCATTGTTAAAGAATAAGCCTGCTAGAGGCGAGTAATCACCTGCTGTAACTGACGCCTTTCAAAGTATGAATGCCTCATACGAGCACAAGATTGTTCTCCAACGTGTTTAGGCTTATGCTTTTTTTCCACTTCATCTTCATCATCATCAGCGCTTTCCCTACATCAACATAAGCCAATTTGTACTCATGAGTGAAATTGAAAAAAATGTTGCTGTATTTAAATAGAGTTCAACTTAGCAACAAAAAACTTGGGACCGTTCTCAAGTGACGGCTCATTTGGAAAGAGAGAAACAGATGAAACGCACATTCCATTTACAGGATGTTCCGAATCCAATCTTGATTAAGAGGATTTTGCATCTACCCTGTGACAGATCCGTTACTGTGATAAAACTTACCAGTAAACAAAAACACCGCCTTTTGTTAAATATGGTTTGCACGTTGCCCAGCTGAAACGTACGAGAGATGGGAATCCAAAGACTGGATCGACATGGTCTTCAAGCCAAGTCTTGGTCTCTGGATCTAAAGACAAAAATCCACAATCCCGATCAAATATCCCGCAGTATTCAACTGAAACAAACGCAACACTACGTTGATTTGAGCCCAACAGTCAACTACAAACCCTAATAGATGAAGTTGTGGTGATCCAATTAAAAAATCTAAATGCCTCACCTCCAGGATAGCCTGACCCAAAGCCTCTGGTAACCTCTCTCCCAGTCTCATCAACAACCCAGTCTCGCAGTGCTCTATCTCTTGTTACCTGTTCTGGGGAAGCAAAACAGCACAACATTGTAAACTTATCAAATTTATCTTGTTTACATCATTAACCATATATTGTAATAAACGAACGCCGCAATTAATGGAACAGCAAATAAGTTCATGTTAAATGCTGGGGAAGATTATGGACATAATGCATCCCTTACCTTGGCGACAATGCTAGCAGCGCTAACGATGGGGAAGAGACTATCGGCTTTCTTTGACACAGTAAATCTGATGCCAGGGAATTTCGTTGTTAGCATGTCCTGGTATTTTCCAGGATCACCAACAGTGTCGACAAATACCTGTAAAATCATGATAAAAATTGTACGTACTTACAACGTTGCAATACATGTTACTACTTAAGAGGTGTGTTCTGAATGCTCCTCGTTTAAGAAGTTCATTAACGACGTAGTTAGCAGAGCCATCAACCATTTTAGAGGGCATTCTTAAATGCAATTGGTCGATATTGAAACACACACCTCTGTTAAAAAAACTCCCAGATCTAGTGTGTTCCTTATCAAGCCCATAGCTGACTCGAAGGAGATGGTGTTGAGATTTACTTTCGCTCTGCATATAATACCAAAAAATACAGTGAGATTACAAGGCAAGCATGCCACGCTCAAAGATTATGGGCGAAGATGCATGCTCATCATAAGCGCCACGAATATATGCATCAATATATATATATATATATATATATATATATATATACACACACACAGTGATTAAAGAAGCAAAATAGAAACAGTTCACTCGAACATATACTTGTACTTAACGGACATATCCTCAAAAATGATACACTTTTTAAGTCTCTACTGCAAATAAGTCTTTACCCGCATTCACGACCATCGTCGCGCTTAGACGTAATGTGGTTTGCTGTTTACTAACAAACAGTCAACCCGCACTCACATTTCGTTTCGATATATATGCAACAACTCCCCTTCCATACGGTGCAGAATCCAAAAGCTATTAGCTAAAGAGAGTATGAAGACACTCAGAAGTTAAATCTCGAAAGGGTTCTGGTAAGTCCCTATGAGTGCACTCACCTACGCAACATTTTCGCAGAGAGATCCTTGGGATCAATCACATCCACAGCCCACCCCATTAAGTCATCAGCCTTAAGGTTTTCATACAGCTCCTCACGTTTCGATTCTGTCAAAGCCTTGGAATCTGCTCGGACGCATGCCTAGGCTGTTAATCGGAGATCCATAACTTGCAAAGCCATACCTTCGACTAGCCAGTGAATCAGGAGAATCAAGTTGAAGGAGAACAAAAAATTTTAAGTAAAATCACGGTATCAGGAAGGGAAAAACAAAAAATTAAAATTAAAATTAATGGAATGAAACAAAAACAGGAGAAAATGGAGGAACCTGCAAACTTCAGAGTGGAGATCCTCTCTTTCTGGTCAATCGGGCAGTAAGCGCAACCATAAACCATGGGTCCTGCACAAAGCATTGCAGCATTTCCTTCCTATTCAACGCCAGGAGCGAAATTCGAATCCAACCAACACTAAAGTAATTCTCGTCATGCGGCAAACCCATTGAAATGCAGCGATAATTCACGAACCTAAAACGGGACCGCGTCCAGCTTCATCGATACCCAAGAGGCAGGGTTTTTCCTTCCAAGAGGGCGAGGCCGACCCAGTCACCATCTCAGTCTGTGCAATCCCTCTTCGGTCGTGTTTTAGATTGTTTCCTTTCGTACGACACTCGCGAGTAGAATCAACTCAAGTTTCAACAGCTGCGGCTAAGACGGGCCGTTCTCAGCACGCATAGAAACAATCAAACAGGACTTTTCGCACCCAGAAAAGGCTTCAGAGATGAGGAGCGTAAACAATCAGCGCGCAAAATACGAAGTGCCGAAGCTCTTTCGATAGAACAACAGTGAAAGCAACGCGAATTGCTATTCCCCAAGACAAATTGTGCGAAACCGTGCCGAGTCAATGAACCCACTCAAGAAAACAGCAACGTATCGCTGCTGCAGATCATGAAACAACAGCGAGTGATGAAATGCGAGGTGGGTCTCCAAACACGATCGAAACCCTAATTTTCGAACCAAGTCATCGATTCTTGTGATTACAAGACTCCGTCTCTTGGGACCACAAGAGTCGCAGTAATTTTTGTTTTGTTTTTCTTATACTTCAAATCAAAGTTTAGGAGTACAAATTTTGAATAACCAATAGCAGGAAGAAATTCAACATTCAAACTTCTAACATCTTTCTCACCTTCAAAGGTTGCACCATTTATTAAATGCCTTTCTTAACAATTTTTGTATAATTATGAAGGTATTGAATAATACTACAAAGATTGTATTGCAAGCTCGGACTTGTCTAATAAATTATCAAATTTCAACAAAGTAATACCCTATTCTTTTAGTCCATTTTTTATTGTAGAAAATAAAAAATTTTAATTGAATAAATATTTTTTTATGATATGATGAATGTCACTTTGTTACATGATATTAGAACGTATTGCAAGTACTACTTATGCAATAAATGTTGTCATTCTTATTGTCGCTACTACTACAACTAATCTTGTTGTCTTGTATGTGCATGTACTTAGTGTAAGCTACAAGAATCAAATCAAATCATTTGTTGCTTACTTATAACGTGTTAGTTGTTGAATGTTGTGTTATTAGTAGCTAATTCTAACATGTATGGAGATTCATCAATTGATGTTGTTGTTGCCAAAAAAATAATTTTTGCTTTATCATAACAAGGTATCACTATCATTTGCTATTATTGTTGATATAATATTTGATTGTTTTATTGTTGATTTTATAACAATTATAATTAAACAATCTTATTGTTTATTGTTGTTGTTGTTGTTGCATATGTTGATTTGACAATGATATCATCCTTGATTGACTATCTTATTAATTGATTGAATAAAAATAATTATGGCATTAGGATGTTTGTTATGAAGTACTTGATTAATATATATAAGCTCTACATTCACATAAATGAAATATTATAATATCCTACAAGTACAAACAAGAAATCAAAATGGAAGTTAAGCAAGGCAAAAGCAAAAGCATTAATTGCTTTCAATGTTAAGCCTTTATAGTTGACACACATACGTAAATGTAAGTTAACAAAGGAGATGTAGGATGTTTTGACTATACTTTACAAATCATTGAGGATCATTTCTAAGATCTTTTTTATAAAGAAACTCTATAATCTTTAGAATGATAATAAAGAACTTATACAAAAAAAAATTTAGCAAAATCTTTGACCTTAGGAATCAATATATCAAGTTTGGTAGTAAAATAGAAAAATAAAGTATAATTTTTTATGTACTTATTGCATTGCTATAGTCATAACTCTGCGTATTTAGTTGGTTATATCAAAAAAATTAGAGAAAATCATAAAAGATACCCATGTTGTTTTGTAACATAACTATATGATGAAAATATAATCAAAAATAAAATTTTAATTAATATTTAATCATCTTGGTTTAATAGTAATTCAAAATATTTAAATATTGTTTTTATAAAAGCCTCTTAATTTATTTTCTTGTCTTAATAGCTAGTAGATTAAAGATTAGTTAGTAATTTTACCTTTTAGACTATAGAATTTCTTTTAGTGCTTTAGAAAGGCCATAAATTGGTAAATATATAATAAAAAATATATATTATGGTTGATACTAAGATTAAGTTGAAGATAGGATCGGATTAAAAAATCCCTTGAATAGGTTGGATTGATATTTGAGGATTGACCATTTGTGGGACAAGGTCAAAATTAGACCTCCAACCACTAAAACGGCCTCTTAGGGCAAAATATGGATTCATTCAAAGTTAGATAATTAGAATTTTAAGCTAGCTTTAATCTTATTTCAAAGGTATAAGGCTTGTTTCTATACAATTTGCAATGACTTTGCAATTGTTGTTCAAAGTCAGATTTTGTATTAGTGACTTGGGATTTATTCAATATAATTAAAGCTAGCACTCTCATTTAGTTTGTGCACTTGGTATCATAATTATAGTTCAAAATTTGATAGTACTCGTTTGATTGAGTGTGTTAAATGTATATAAAATTTTGTATCAATCTGATGGTCCAATTGAGAGTTATTGGGATTTTGATATAAGATGATATCAATAATTGGCAGTTTAAGGTCAAATAGGATTTCTATGATATCTAAAGATCTACTAGTTGAATCAAGGTGAAATTTAACATGATATAAGAAGACTTTAAAATCAAGCTACATGCAAATTTTGACTTGACGTTAATAATTGAAAAAAGAGAAATTACTATTGGAACATCTATATCAACTTTTAAGTTAACAATCAAGTGATATTAGTGTAATTTTTGGACTTTTTCTTACAATTTTTAAGTTGGATTGGATTGAAGTTTTTTAAACACATAGAAGACTTATGGTGGCATTTATATACAAATTTTTGCACTAAGTGGATGATTAGATTAGGAGTCATAGTTCATCAAAGCTTATAGACCAAAATCAAGGCTTGTATAGAGAAATCAAAATTCCTTGATTATAAAAGTAATAAGACAATTGGAATTCATGTATGATTGAGGTTACTAAGAAGAGTGTTTTTGAGCACTTTGTATTGGCTTTAAGCACTTTTGAATTGAAATTCGAATTATATTCTTCTTATATAGATGAAACCTATTAAGATTTCTTAGATATTTGTAAAAGACAACTTTACCTTCCACAATTAGATGCTCGGTGCATTTCCAAATAAGACAATATATATTACAATACCTTACAATCTATATTCTTTGAAGAAAAGATATAAGAAAAAAAAATCTATTTTTTGCCTTTATAGTACATGCAAGAGGTAGATAATCTTTAAATAAGCAATTGATGAGCTATCTTATTCATTTAATAAAGATATTATATATCACTAAATCATATAATAAGACAACATAGTTTAACTATATTCAAAGTAATTCAAATAAGCAAGAAGAATAATTAGATAATCACCACTACAAATGCCATAGTTTATTATTCATTATATAGAAGGTTTTCTTTTTATATAGATGATTTATCAAAAAAATAGATTAATAACGAGTTTTTAATGTATATATCCAAGATAATTAGTTGAAGTCTAAATGTTGTTGATGATTAAATATAAGATTGCAATATCAATACTTTCTTTTGTTGTAATGGTTCCAAACATATTTTAGCAATCTAGATACTTTAAAATAAAAAAACCATGAAATTTTTATTATTTTTACAAGGATTTTTTTATCTTTGCACCTAATTTTATTTTCTAAGTAACTTACAATATGAAATAATGGTTGATATTCAAAGGCATTGTCAAAAATTATTGATGAATTGTATAGAGGTATGATTTTTTTTTTTTTTTTTTTTTTTTTTTTTAAAAGACAAAATTATTGATGATGTTTTGAAAAATGGTACAATTTCAATTATTTTGTCTTATCATTTGAATATTTTTACTAATTTTAGTAATTATGTTTAATTAATTATTAGATTTTTTAGAAAGTCAAATATTTTATACTCCAAAAGAGACTCCTAGTTAAAAGTATATTGCCAATAGCGTACTTATTTACACATCAACTTCTATTATTCATATGAGGGATTTTATATCTATTTTATGATTGATTTTTTATTTTGATGGTAGCCTTGAGGAATAGTTGTCTTGTTGTTGTAACAAATATTATGTTGTCTATTGTGGTTTTTACCTTTGAATCTATATGTTATGGATAGGTTGTGAACTTAAAGTAAAAAGATTTAAAGGGACTAATTATAAAGCCTTTAAGATAAGGACAAAGATAGAGAAATATATATCAATGTAGTTTTGAAATTTTGGTTATATTATGTGCGTTGACCATATTTAGATGTTTTTTAAATTTTTTAAATAAATTTTTTTTAAGTGGCTTTGTGAAAATATTTGTTACTTATTTTAAGATTGATACATAATAAAGGCTAATTTTTCTTAATAAAAACTTTTTTCTAGTTAAGTAACAATAAGTATATATGTATTATAGTTCTTATTCTATATCTTCCATTTAATCAAAGTCTATGTATTTTAAGAAGTTAATTTCATTGTTATTTTGATATAATATCTTATAGTCTTGAGTGTCCTTGATATATTACAATATCTTTTTTGCTACAATTAAATAAGATTATTGAGATCTTATCATATATTAACTAATAATTCATTTAGCAAATTATATGTCAATATAAGTTTGAATTAAATTGAGATATTTTTTTACAATATTTTAATATTATGTTAGATGATTTTTTTTAATGTTAATTTTAAGTTTCTTTTTTTCATTTAATTAGAATAGTTATTGAAGCACAATTTTTCATTCTAAAGGTTCTTAAAATATTTTGTATATATATATTTTTTAGGCCATAAATATTCCTTTTTTTACTTGTAAGAATTTTATTTTTTAAAAATATAGTGTGACTTTTTTTTTTCAGATAATTTTGACATTTCAATTTTTTCATATAATTTTTCTTTCAATTTAATCATATTTATTCCATAACTACTTATTATAAAGAGATCATCTACATATAGAAGATTGTAAATAATTTTTCCTTGTGACAATCTCATATATAAGTTACAATCACCAGTGCTTTATTAAAAGCCTATTTCTTTAAGATATGAATCTATTTTTTAATATTAGGCTCAAAGTGCTTGTTTTAATCTATATATTGCCTTTTTAAAAACCATATATTTTTTTTATAATCTTTAAAATCTTGAAGTTGAATGATTTATACTTCTTCTTTTAATTTTCCATGAAAAAAGGTAGTGTTGACGTCCATATGACATAATCTCCAATTTTTTTGACTTATTATTGATATTATTGCTCTAATAGTGGTCTACTTGACTATAGGTGCACAAATTTCTTCATAGTCAATACCTTTTCTTTAGTGAAAATTTTTGACCATCAATCTAGCTTTGTATTTTTATAGAGATTCATCTATATTTAGTTTAATTTTATAAATTTATTTTGTAAAAATGATTGATTTATTTTAAAAAATATTTATAAGAATCCAAGTTTTATTTTTAAATATAAATTTTATTTCTTCTATCATAGCTTGCATCC